TGGCACCGGATATGACAGGGTTCAGTTCTGTTGTTCATAGGGTTGCTATGAGTTGTATTTGACAGCACCTAATAATAAAAGTGCAACTAATCCTGATAATTTCATCCTTGTTCCAGAGATGGGATCTAAACTATAGAAAATACCCCATAAGAAGTCTTGCAGCTGGAATGCAAAACAAGGGAGCCTCACATGTATATTCACTGCATGTTATTGCCTCACTGAAAGTAATAACTTGATCTTGGTCAAAATTTTCTACTAGCGAGTGATGTCTTCAACAGACTTCCTCGCTCTGAGAGCTGACCTGGATATTGCCTATCCGTCCACAGTGTAATATTGCCTTGTACACATGAGTAGGAGCCAAGGTTATTCTAGAAGAGCTACTGACAGCACTGCCCACAACTCAGACGCTATGTCCATTATGGGAATGAAAATATAGATTCATTACAACAACTTCTGTGTGGAATTTTATCCTATGCTTTACTTGGATAAAACGTGTGGAGCAAATCAAGCTTTTCCTCCAAAGCCAGTTTGTTGTTGTTGTTGTTGTTAAGTGTCATCAAGTTCAGTCTGACTCATAGGGACTTCTTGAGCAACAGATATGAACACAGTTTATCCTGTGCCATCCTCACAATCTCTGATACCCTCTAGCTCATTGCTGCAATCACTGTGCCAGTCCACCTGCCTGCGGGTCTTTCTCTCTTTACCAGTCCAATTTGGGGATCTGCCATTTATCGCCTGTGTGAACCTTCGTCATGGTATTTACCCTCTCTAAAGTAGAAGTGCTTTCATCTCTAAGGCTAGGTAATGACATCTATCTTTGGTTTTAACCTTCCATATATGGAGAGGATATTCCGTAGCCTCTGCTTTAACCTATTCTCTTCGACCTGAGCCATTCCTCTTTGTGTCCAAATATCAAACTTGCTGCTATAAATAAGCTTCTGTTTAGCTCTTCAAGGGAAGGAAGGGAGCTTGGAAATAAAATGTTCAGGAGACACGAGTAAAAAGCCCCCAAAGCCTACCTGTGTGGAGTGGATTCTGACTAGGTGACCCTATAAGATGAGTCGCAAGGACCCCTCAGGGTCCCCAACATTGTAATCTTTATGAAAACAGACTGCCACACTAGTCACCTGAGTTGTTACAGGTGTGTTCGTATCACTGAGCTTTCAGTTTGCAGCTAAAAATCTTTATCTACTGTGTCAAGAATGTTCAACAGGTCCCTGGTTACTATTATTGATTAGGTTTCACTCAAGGTTTCTTAATATTTTATTGGAAGGGGCTTTTTTTAGTTTGGCACTGGTTTCAACTTTTAAACGATTTCTTTGTGTGCTTTGCTGAGATAGTTTTACAGTACAAACATGTTACTATTGTTGTGTGTTTTCAAGTCAGAATGGATTCATGACTGACCCTTCAGTGGGTTTTCAGCGGCAGGAAATCACACAGGAGGAGATTGTCCGTCTTTCTTCCATGGGGCAGCTGGTGGATTTGAACCATGTACCTATGACACCAAATTCTTTTTTGGTTTGGTCCTGTTTATTGCCACAAGGGCTAGCTCAGTTTTCTGTCTTAATAAAATCCCCAAACCAAACATCTTACTCCCTCCCCCCAACCTTTGCTCTCTAAAACTCATTGCTGGTGAACAGAATGTCCAAATTCCTTATTCTTCCATTTATGTTATTGTGCAATCATAGTTAGATGTCTCAGAGTCAGTCCTGATTCCTAGAGTCCTGTGTACAACAGAGAGAAGCACTGACAGATTCTGAGCTACCTTCACTATTATTGCAATGTTGAACCCTTTGTTATAGCATCTGGGTCACCATTTCTCTAAACTGAAACTAACCCACTGACATGACATGTAGTCTGACTCACAGGTGCCTAGTATCAGATGTCCAAGGCTGTAAATCTTGATGGGAGGAGATTGCCCATCCTTGTCCTTCGGAGCTGCTGGTGGATTTGAACTGCTGACATTGCAGTTAATGGTGCAACAAGTTGTACACTACACTGCCAGGGCCAGTTATCTAAAAGGGTCATTTAAATTGGGTTAGCAGAGTCCCTTCTGATGCATTTAGGAATCCCAATCTTCAACAAGGATCTTGCCATTGTACCTTGTTGCTTTTCATTGCCAATCTATTTTTTCCCCTTAAAGTAAGAATTAACATGACCATCAACAGCACCATTCTACTTCACTTCCTCGATCCTCATTAGATTGACTGTGACTCACCCTTCTCTTCTTCCTCCAGCCCCAGCTTCCCTCCCTGATATTAGCAGTTGTTGTCAACTTGACATTGTTTATTTCAGTCACTCCTGTATTTGGGTCATGTTCTTTTGCCTTTTCCTGGTCGATCCAATATCCAATACAAAGTCATTTTATACACTAATTTTTTTAAGTTATTCAATTGTTAACAGATTTATATTACAATTTTTGTTCTACATTGGTTTTATATTTAAGTTACTCAATGTTACCATAGTAATGTTTTGCTTATGTAAGCGAATTGTTGATCTTAGTTGTCAAAATACCATGCAGAGGATCGGGCGAATTTTTTTTTATTTTATGAATCACTCTTTTACCTTAGCTTTGAGTTTATACCTAATGAAGTGAATTAATACTAGGCACTCAAGGGTGTGAACTGGTTATACTTCCTGGACATTGATATGTAATATAATACCACCCACCCCTCTTTTTGTATCTGAGTTCTGAGCTGACTGAGAAAAAGAAATACAAAGCAGAGGAAAGTATAGTTTTGTTTTGTTTTAGTGATAACACACTGAAAAACTGACTTTCATAGGAAGCTGTAGTGGTCGAGTCAACGACCACACCTCTTTGGCCGTTTAAATCCACTGGTAGCTTCTGGTGAAGAAGATTAGTATCCTCATTCTGTGTGATAAAAAGTCTCAGAAACCCTGAGAAGGGTCAGTTATAAGTCAGTTCTGGCATGACGGTATTGAATTTTCCACCAAAGATACTAAAACAAGAGCAAAGATTTAGCCATAGAATCTCTTTGTTTCATTACTGTCAAGTTGGTTCTGAAGCATAGCTGACCTCCCCCCCCTTTGGTTTCCAAGGTCTTAAGTCACATGGGAGGACACTGTCCATCCTTTTTGTGTGCAGTGACTGGTAGATTCGAATTACCAGAGAAGCCCAGTTTTTAGGTTCACAGCACAACCCTCCAATGGACTATGCCTCCCCAGCTCTCTCTAGCTATGAAATAATAAGAGTAGAACCAGTGTTTTCTGAAGGATTTCCCACCCCTCAAAGAGAAACAGAAAGTGTCAGGAACAGAGCTGTGCTTGTTTTTGTTTTTTGAAGATTATCTGTAATCATTCAGATTATGTCACCCCTTTTCTCTGCAGAGTTTTAGGAGAGAAGTTAGAAAAGATAGAAGATGTATCTTTTAGGAAAGTTTATTCCCAAAATAAATGAGTGAATGAATGAATGAATAGAATATATTTACACTTCCAATGACCTAAGGACCTAACTTGCTAATTGTATAATGATTTATCTATTGATTCAGTGACTGGAGTAGTGGGGGTAGGTGTGTCAGAGATAAGATTGGCACAGGATAGAGCAGAGTTTAAGGCTGTTGTACACAGAGTTTCTATGAGTCACAGGTGACTCGATGGCACATAACAACATATAAACTCCAGCCATATAAGTGATGTTTTCCACGACTTGTTATTCAAATTTGCACTCACTTTTCTTTTAACTTCTCCCTTTCACCCCTGCCCCAGTAATCCCCTCACCACTTCCAGGTAAACAAGGTCAGGTTCATTCGTATCAGGACAAGTTTATTCAGAAGCAAGTGGGAAAAATCCAGCATAAATGCCCTAAACACAGATTGGACTGTGTTGCCATCACATTCAGACATTCATTGTTCTTGAATCAGAACCAGCTCATCCCTGAACGTTCAGTGAGTTCTCAGAGACTGTAAATCACATGGAGAAGTGATTGCCCATCCTAATCCAGTGGTGGAGGAGAACGAGGATTTGAACTGCCTACACCTTCCTCACCCACTTAAAAATCTAAGTAGGCTGACTGAATTCAGAACCTTCAGTAATACCATCATAGACATATTGTTTCTCCTCTATTCTTTGTGTCTTCTGAGCTGGCCTGTCCTCCCTCTCATTATACTTGAGTCAGAACCAATCGATAGCTGACCCTCCAGTGGCATTCTGACAGTATAAATCACAGTGGAGCTGTTCTTTCTCCATCAGAGTCCCTGATGGATTCAAATCAATGGAGAGAAACCTCTGAGTTAGCAGTGAAGCACCGGGTAGACGAGGCTCCCAGAGCTCCAGAGTTCGGCTCCCTGGTTTCTGAATGGCCCCCAGCACTAGGTTTTATTCTTATGCTTCAGGAAGCTTTGACTGCAGAGAACATTTTTTTTTTCATAAATGCTGTAGCAAAAAATCTGCAGCTGAAAATTCCTGACTCCCTTTGGTTTGTGGGCTAATAAGAAGTTCACAACATGGGGCTTTTTGACTGGAGAATAAGCATCACCTAGAAATTTATTGGAGAAAAACAATGTGGGTTTTTTTTCTTTTCCTTTTTCTGCCACAGATTCTTAGCACTAGGCCACCAGAGTACTTATGCACTAGTATAGAATTAATGTGATAATGAGTTACTAAGCCTTTTTTTTTTCTATTCAAGGGTTAAAACAACAAAGATTTGTCCTCTTAGAAGTTATGTTAAGGCCCAACTTTTTCCCAGCTGGAGAAAACTCATTATCTTTACATGAATCACCCACCAACTCAGTTTTCTTTTTATGATGGACCATCTGAGTGACTATGTAAGAGTAGGGAGGACAGGACATATGCCTTGGGTTGGGAGGATACGCAACTCGCTACCTGAAGTCAAGTCAGTTATACGCTGTGTTGATATGATTTGTTTTTCTGGAACTGCTTCAAAGACAACAGAATATCATATGCAGAAGCAAATTAAACCTCGACCCAATATGTAACCATGACAACTTGTTCTGTTTGTACTTCACTTGTGATTTTCATAGGTACTATGGTGGGTGACCATACCCGCTTGGAGTTCCACAACATTGAAACTGGTATCATGACCGAGAAGCGTTACATCTCCGTTGTCCCCTCCAGCTTCATTGGCCACCTGCAGAGTCTTATGTTTAACGGTCTCCTCTACATTGACCTGTGCAAAAATGGTGACATTGACTACTGTGAGCTGAAGGCACGTTTTGGACTGAGGAACATCATTGCTGACCCTGTCACCTTCAAGACCAAGAGCAGTTATCTGAGCCTCGCCACCCTCCAGGCCTACACCTCCATGCACCTTTTCTTCCAGTTCAAGACCACCTCAGCTGATGGCTTCATTCTTTTCAACAGTGGTGATGGCAATGACTTCATTGCAGTAGAACTAGTCAAGGGGTAAGTGGAAAAGGTCATATACTTACTTTATGCTGGATATCTTAGCTGAAGATATGAAAAAAACTATGGACATGAAAAACCAAAGTGTCCATTCTGTTTCTATCCTATTCTTGACACACACACTAACATCTTCAAAGAGTAGATCAGTGCAATGTTTTGTATTAAAGAAGAATTCTTTCTTTAGTGATTTTTTATTTTCTCAGTACTGTTTCTGTGTTTATTAGGGAAGGTAAATTCTAGACATTATATTATCTAAATTAATGTCAGCATCTAGACTATGAGACTCTTTGAAAAAAATAAAACATAATCATAATATCATGTCTGAAAAGTCTAATAACTCCATAATAATCACGTAATTTTTGGAAGCAGGAGTGGCATCCACTTCCTAAACCACATGCCTCTGGAAACTCTATGAACGTTGAGAAATGATAGCGATAGAAAGGCTTCAGGTCTTTTATTCATAGGGTCGCTGTGAGTCATGCTCGACTTGACGGCAATCAACAGCAACAGTCTATTAAAAGATACTTTTTAAAAGAAAAGATATGGAGAATGAGGTATCTATCTCTTCAAAATGACAACCTTCAAAATTATAGGAAGAAATGAAATGTCAATATTTTAGCCCTAATATTTGACAGTGTATGCAACTTTAAGTCATTGCCCCTTCTTTAAAATATTTTGCTCTTATATACTGTAAAAATGGTGAAAAATATAGAAATCTATAATTAACTGTGATTATTAACTGTGATTATCACTATTGGCAGCTCATGATTAAGAGTGTACCACTTGCACAACTCAGTGACCCTGGATTTTTGATAGGTGATTTTGAAGAAGCGTTATGAGTATGAGATGAAAGTGAAGTGTGATAAAATAAGTTGTAACTTTTTAAAAAAAAAAAAAAGAGCACTGATTTTTATATAATAATACCTTTATAGCATGTTTCATTCATATACATTGTGTTTTATACAATATTTCATTTGCTTAACTTTTCTTGTATTCTTAAACCTGATGTTAGTTATTCCTGCATGATGCATAAGGATTTGGTTTCACATATGTTGCCATGAAACCCCTTAGGGAAGTATAGATTATCAACTGCCTATTGTCCCTTCTAGGTACATACACTATGTATTTGACCTTGGAAATGGTCCCAATGTGATCAAAGGCAACAGTGATCGCCCTTTGAATGACAACCAGTGGCACAATGTCGTCATCACCCGGGACAACAGTAACACCCACAGTCTGAAAGTGGACACCAAGGTGGTCACTCAGGTTATCAATGGTGCCAAAAATCTGGATCTGAAAGGTAAACCTTGTGAGGAAAACTATCATTCTTAGTGCATATTTTTACAATACAAAGGCTGTTTCCAGAAGCAAACTACAGGTCAAGAGTGTTGTACTTTTTGATACCTCTTGCATGTTCTATCATCCTGCAATTTATTGTTTTTTAATTTGACCTATCCTCGAAGAATGTTTTCATATTTCTGTAAACCTCTGGAATGTCTGCTTGCAGGAGGATTGAGTGGTGAACTGAAACTTTATAGGATGATATAGCACAACATGCTTGGGAAGGTGGAGGGTTAGAGAAGATGAAGACGACACTCAACAAGATGGATTAACACAGTGACTTCAGCAAAGCACTTAGGCAGAGTGGAGACTGAGAGGATGGCACAAAACTGGGCAGGATTTCACTCTGTTGTACACAGAGCTACTGTGAGTTAGAATCTGTTCAATAGCGACAGCAGAAGCCAAGAATTCAGTAAGTGGAAGGATCATAGGCGCAGTTCAAGCTCAGGTTGGAATCTCAGCTGGGCTGTTTACAGACTTGGTGACTGTGGTAAAAATCCTTATCTTTACTCAGCTCTAGCATATTATTCTGTAAGATGAGGCTAATAATTGTTACTGCTTTTATGAGTTGCTCAGAGTTTTAATGGATTAATGTCTGTAAAATCCTCAGCAGGTTATCAGCAACAAGCACTCATTAAATTCTTGTTATTGTTTTTGTTGAAAATTGTTGTTAAAAATTACTTCATAAAAAATTACTTCATCATAACAAAGGGCAATATCTCATGAAAATTAGTATAATGATTAAAATTTGTGAAATGCCATGTGTAAAAAAAATGAAAGATGTGCAAGATATTTATTTAGAGTTTAGGATTCCTATTAATTCCTTGACTTTAACTTGTTTTATTGGGGTGTGGCTTTTGTTTCCCACCTATTATAATTATCTAACAATTATCCTAATGCTCATTGCCTCTAATTGCCATATTCTTTGTTCATTCTCTCTGGTAACTTCCTCTCCTTTTTAGGTGATCTCTACATGGCTGGCCTGGCCCAAGGTATGTACAGCAATCTTCCAAAGCTTGTGGCCTCTCGTGACGGCTTTCAGGGCTGTCTGGCATCAGTGGACTTGAACGGACGTCTGCCGGACCTCATCAATGACGCCCTCCATCGGAGTGGACAGATTGAGCGCGGTTGTGAAGGTACAGCCATTTTTTTGCAAACAAACACACAACAAAAGCTACAGCCTTGTTGCAAGCACCAAGCCCCTCGGCTGCCTCTGCCAGTGCCTCCTTCCACCAGCCCTTTCCCATTCCCATTTGTCATCTGAAACCTCATCGCCATCAGTGCCCTCCTGAACTGAGTATGCCAAGACATGTGCCACAGGCTCCAGCAATGGGTGTTGGCAGATGTCTTCCTAGTGTCACATACTCGCCAATAAAGGACCTATTCAGTCATTGACTTCAGGCTACCATAGTATAACTTTGCCTTTGAGAATGCCTGGAAGGATGGGGAAGGGCAAATCAGAGACTTTGATACAGAAGTCACCATTAATAGGATGTGTCTCATTTCTACTAATAGTGACTTTAATACTCCGTGCGAATCTAAGAAGAGGCAGTCAACTAATGTCAGAATGTCATAATGATGAAAGTGAGTGAGCATTTATTGAGATGTAGGAAATGTTGGAAATTGTTAAGCAGTTTCCTTAGTATGTTATAGAGAGACAGTTTGGCCTTTGGAATTAGAAAGACTTGGATTTAGATTCAACGTGTAACTCTTATTAGCTGTATGGAATTTATCAAATTATTTCATCTCACTGAGCTATACTTTGTTAACCTGCCAAATGGGCCAATTAAACTTACTTTTGAAGGTAAGTAAGTCATACACACAGGTAAAATGCCAGGTACATAGTAGATACTCAAACAGAAATAGGATTATTGTTTACAAAGATTGCCTCTTGTGAGACATCTAATAAGATTAACTACCTATTTATGAAGCACAGCAAACAATGCTTAACCTTTCTGTTTCGTAGATTATTGACTATCTCTTGGGATGTGTGCAGAACTGTAAAGGCTTTACTGAGCTCAGCAGATGTTTATAGTAAAAGCAATCTCACTTTAGCCAGCAGAGGGGAGTGGTGAACACATTGAATTTTCCTTGACAGATCTCTTCAATTTCCTTTAGTGTAAAGATTAACAGCCTTGGCAAGCCAATGGGACAGACAGGTGTGCTCTATCTTACAGAATTATTAGAAATTATAATTTGCTCAAAGGCATTAGGGTTTGGCTTTGGGCTTTTTTGCCTTAGGCTAGTTAAGAAGTGACTCTTCCTGAACTTCAGACAAGAACTTGAGAAGCCACCGGGGTCTCTGTTTTCTTGTGTCTGGTTGAGCTTACTGGTCCTTTGTTTGTGCAATCTATTATGCTTTATTGTGTTCTTTGTTAATTGATCACATCAAACCTGCTCATTCATTTCCTCCCAAGTACTCAGTTGCATTTGTTTTTCCTGTTCTGGACCAGCTTCCACTGATGCTCACTCACTGCCACAAAGCACATTTTTGTGAAAGCTTCTCTCATCAGCTTCCTGGGTGGATTTCTAGTTATAGAAATCTTTCCACTTAGCCTGAGAGCCAGTGCTGCTGTGCTCTGCTAATAAAGAAACTGGTTGTCCCTATAACCCACTCCATTTTTCCTTTCACTTTAAATATTTCTCAAATTCTGTTGGCCAAAAAATGAAATTTTTGTGCACTCACACGCGCGTGTGTGTGTGTGCACGCGTGCGCACACGTGCATATGGGGGTATGTAAGTGTGTGAGTGCGTGTGGGTGCATATGTGGGTGTATGAGTTTGCATACCTGAGTTTACGTGGATGTATGCATGTGTGTGATGTGGAGATTTCCACCAAGCACTTAAGTATTCACTCTGCTTTGCTGCTTGTGGAAATGTACACTTTCCTTCAAACTCAAGATTATTTTGTTGTTGTTGTTGCATTGGCCTGTATTAATTATCATTAAAGAAAAACTCTGGATAGATGCAACATTTGGAATAAAATTAAGTATCATAATCTAGGATATTGTAGAAGGACAATAATACAGACTATTCTGCAATAATTCATTCTATTAAGTTAAATCAAGATATAAAAGCATGTATCCAAAAGTATAGGGAGCTCTGGTGGCCTTCAGAGTTGTGCTGGTGGTAAAGAAGTGCACTGGCAACTCAAAAGCACATGGTTCAAATCCACCTGCTGCTACAAGGGAGAAACATAGGGAGTCTCCTTCCCTGTGGTTTACTGCCTGTGATAACCTACTGGAGGGTCAGCTATTAGTCAGTTTTGGCTTGATAATATACAATGACAACAACAATCACAAAAGCTTAATGTGTTGTTCAAATTAAAGCTATCATGCCTCCAATTATTTTATTAAAAAAATTAACAGGACTCATCAACTTAAGTGTCTAACAATGCTACCAGTAGACCTGAATCGCAAATGCAATTACACATTTTCTAGTAGTCATAGTAAAGCAGAGAATAAAAAAACAAGTAGAACTAATTTTTATTTACCACAACTCAATATATAAAATATGATTATTTCAAGCATGTAATCAATATGAGAGAGAAAAAAATGAGAGGAAAAACCCTATTAACATTGTCCCTTTTTCATTTTAAGCTTTCCAAATCGAGTTGTAGCTTTGTACCTTACAATTTCTATTACATGCCTTGAAAATTCATAGACACCACATGTGGCTGTGGTTACTTTATTGGAGACACAGCTTTATAGAATATTACCAAAAAAATGTAATGTGAAGAAACGAAACTTTAGTATTGGATTGAAAGAAGGTCTAAGTTAACTAACTTTTCCAATAGTGGATAAAAACAGAGTAATATAAAAGGGTGGGAAGGACTCTACTTAAGAGAGCTTTAAGAGAAGCAGTGAGAGCATTAGCAAAAGGAAAATTACCCATCAAATTGGCAGAAATGTTCTTCTCCCTACCTACAGCTCTGTGTGCACTTTGCTATGACTCATCCCATGCATTACGGTGGGTTCCAACCTTCCTCTGAGTGTGGCTGATTGTTCAAAGCCGGATATTGTGACTTGATGGCTCTGCTGTTTGAATCTATGGCAAGTCCCATGGGCCTAATAACACTGCACTCTATTGCCATGGAGATAATTGCGATGGTTACCCATCCAGCATTGTGACTGCCCCGCTGGGTGAGATGAAGTGGAGGATGAATGCTGAGGGAAGAAGGTCCTTGTTTATTGTACACAAATGACTTGGATAATTAGCCTAAGTGACCAGGAAAAATGGCTAAAAAGTGGGTTAAGGCATAAATTACTGTCATTGCAAGTTTGCACCATTGTGAATAAGCACTTGTAAGAGGTCCCAGGAGCTTTTTCAGGTCCTGTGGACATAAAAGTGTAGAAGATAGTGGGGAGGAAAAGGAAGGGCAGAAACTTTGAAGGATCTGCAAAAATAAAAAGACGCTAAAGGCACTGTGAATCTTCTGAGCATATATAAAGATGTTTTAGGGTGTTAGATTTTATAGGAACAGTTGGAAACGGAACAACTTTTCTTGATTTATCAGTTAGTGGCTTACTGATAAGGAGTTATACTGCCAGCCCAAAGCACGTTGTTCAAATAGGCCAGCTGCTCTGTCGAGAAAGCTGAGCAACTGATTTCTGTGTCATTTACTACCTCTGAAAACTCACTGAAGGGTCAGGTATGAGTCGCTTCTTACTCTATGGACCGTAACAACAGCCATAAGATACATAGAATACAAGCCTTCATGGTACAGTGCTACAATAAACACATGCTTATCAAAACTCTGGTAGTTCTAAACTACCAGCGACCACATAGGAGAAAGAAGTAGCAATCAACTTCCATAAATTCTTACAGCTTTAGAAAACCTATAGGTCAATTCCACTCCATCCTATATGGCGATTATGAATCACAATGAACTCTATAGCAGCAAATTTAGGGCTTGATATGGGTCAGAAATACATTTTAGTTACTAAGACCATAGTCCTGGATTCCTACACCATGATGAATGTGTTTTAATCCCATTTATTGGGATCACATTAGCCAGGATATGTCACAAGTTCTTGTCAAAGTTGTTGGCAATAATACTTCAAGGTCCCTATGTAGCAAGTATATAATTTCCCCATTATTTCTGACCTACAAGAGCAGATAAAACACATATGAATAAAAATATTTTATAAGATCTAAGTCCATTTGTCTATGGCTCTCAATTGCTCTTTAGTAAAAAGAAAAAATAATAAAAAAGGAAAAACAGTAGAAGTTTTTACTTTATAGCTCTAATCTAAACTGAGTAAATAACGGAATACTCGGTGTAAATGAAGTGTAATTTCTGGGCAACTACTAACTACTACTAATAGCAGCTAGCTCTACCGTGGCCTCTTAATTTGGGTTAGAGATGTTTAATAATGCCTGATTTAGCACTTGGCTAGTAATTTTTCTTTCTATTTTGAGGCCAGCTTTTATGATAAGACCAAGACATGAATTGGCTAGAAATGCTATTCTTTAACTCCAGATGGTCAACATCTGAGAGAAACACACATGGTTCATTTTAAGACTGGCTTGAATAAGTAAAAAGGACATTGGTTTGGTGCCTTTTGCCCACAGCCATTTTGGTTTGGCATTCTCTCTTGCTCTCTCTCTGTCTCTCTGTGTCTCCCTCTCTATATATAGATGTATACATATAAATAATTTTTTATACAAATTAAAGACAATGAGCTCTTTAGTATTTCCAGATCATACAGATGTAAATGCTTGAGTCTAGTGTCACATTTCTTGGTGACATTGGCTGCAGGGCACAAGCAATGTTTTAATTGACTCTTCCACTTCCAATGTCTTTCCCCCACCCCAATACCACAGTTCTTTTTGTGGGCTCTGTTTGATTCTGCACTCATGTCTTCTGTTCCGGCCATGCACTATCCTTAGTTTGTGATGCTTATCCTGACGGAAAATCATTCTTTTAGACTGTATGCCTTGGGGTTGGCTGTGCAAATGTGGGAAGGCGCTTGTTACCCATTGCTTGTGCTTTGTCAAGTCCAATATTTCCCTGGCCCTGCTCTGCTGACTTGGCTTCGAGGAGGCCCGCTCTACCCTGGTCTGCCCATCCTTGTTCGTGCTGTCTCTGGTGAACCTGTGAAGCATATCAATTGTCCGTCTGAGTGATATGTCTG